GTGCTTTGCTTAAGGTCAAATACTCAGTGCTATCAAAAAGCATTTAAACCAAAGCTGATGGGCTATTAAAGCCCAGGCTAGCTAAAATCAGGCACAGTTCTTCTTCAGTGATTTATTTCCTCCTATTGGAAGCAGTAATGTTGAAGTTGGAACAGTCCACAGCAGCCTGTGCTTTGCTCTTCTTCGCTGCTCTCTGTAGACTGATAAGGGATTCCCTGATGAAATCAATGCTCCAAGTCTCCCAAAGAGTTACTTTCAAGGACCAGGAACTTTGTTTCCATTTGGTCAGTTATTTTAAAAGGTATTGACCTCTTTCTGATTTAATTGGTCTAAGGTGAAATCTGGGCATTGGAATTTTTTTTTTTGAAGGCTCCCAAGTGTAGTGTTTCTAATATGTGCTGGGATTGAGAACACCTGAGCTAAATGCTTGATTTAGTTAATTAAAATAAAATGTTGAAAGCCGATGCCTTTGGGTCCTGAACTGTTCTCCATATTCCTCTGCCCTTACTCATAGTTTTCATTCAAACCAAATATATATTCTTCCCTGCTGCCTCTTATTTTTGGAACCCAGAACTCTCTCCTAGGAGGGGGCTTGCATTGTTAAGCTCCAGAATGGGCAAAGTAGCAATTCCATACTCCCTTTGCAATTGGTAGGGAATGGGATGGAAACTATCCCCCAAATATCTGTTAGCCTCCTATCAAATGGATTGGTAAAGATCAGTTCTGAAGATTCAAGAGAGAGGTGAGAATAAACACTATGGAACAGGCCCCTTCAGAAAGTCTGAAAAGAATGGGACAGCAAAACTTTCCTGAGCAGTGAAGAAATCTTTCTCACATTATTTATGCACACTGTTTTGCTGTGCCTTCTTTCTTTCTTGTCATACAATAGAAATAATGATCTTGGTACCAGATTCTGTGTTGCACGAGGACAATTAATCACCCACCTAGTCATTTATTTCCTCATACTCTTGCCCACCAGGACCATTATCTTGTAGGTAAACAGAGGTGCCAGTAAATCACTGGCAGAACACAAGTCGGCGGGAGAATGGTTGATTAAGCATCTCTATAACTTATAGTTATATAGCACCTCTCATCCCAATGGATCTCCAAGCACCAGATAGACTGATGTATGCCCTGCTGCAGAGCCTCTCTATATGTCATTTTTTACACCATTGCATTGGGGGAGGTGGAATGTTTATTGCCCTTTTCATGCAGTTACCCTAGAAACTGCAGTCATGGGTAAGACAAGAGGCAAAGGAAGGAACTTTTCACTTTCCTGTCCTTTCATGCAACAGAAATCAACTAACAGTGAGAGTAAACTACCCACCCTCTTGGGCAAAGTTTCTTTGATTCATGAAATACTGAAAATATTACACAATTCCATGTTTCTTCTTCTTCTAAAGTTGGCAGCAACTGAGTAGGCATTGAGGTTGAGTGGTGAGTGTGGACAAGGTCTAAAGCAAGTATTTCCAGGGTAAAAATATTTAGGATCTACTAGAATCATAGTCTAGAGAAAATCACTGTAAGGACAGATCACATACTTGCAAGTTTAAAAATCTTCATGTTAACTCTGCTCCTAAACCTTTAGTAATAAATGGAGCCTTTTGAAAGAAAAAAGCAATGTCCATTTTTCCTCCCAGTGTTTACTTAAATTGTTTGATTACAATGCTACTTTAAAATTTATCCTTATGGCTCTGATCTATGTATAAAACCAAAAAGAAGTTAAATTATGTAATTCAATACAAGTTAAATTCAAACAAAACTACAAAGTCAATGTAATTCAATTAAACAACATTAATTTAATGGGAAGGATGATGTGTTTTGCTGAAACCAAATTATCTCTCAAATGAAAACATGATATTGACTGCTGCCTCATTAATTCTTTTAAATTTGGCATGTCTATGCTACAGGGTGCCATGTGATGACCCAATTTTCCACAATTTCTGTATTTGAACTGCTATGGAAACTCCCTCTGTAAAGTATACTATCAACTTATTTGGCCTTATTTTGTGCTAACCCAACATTTCTTTGCAAAGCTTCCATCTGTGACACTGGAATAAACAAGGGCCCTGGAATCCTGTGGTATGATGTGATCATGAGCCAGTAGAACGATGCAGAAGATAGTAAAACTCAATTCTAAGACTATGATCAAAAGGAGAACCTCCGATTAAAAATATCCTCATAAAAAATTGTAAGACTCCCCTGGTGGGGAGCCTATGGGAGCCATGGACCTCACATTCAAACACACATACATAGTCAAAGTCACTAGGTTTAGGTCAGTAGTAGGTTTAAAGCTGGAATCAGTGCAAAATCCTGGGTAAAAAAAAAAATGAAGCCAAATAAAATTAAATGATCGTATGACAATAAAATTCATTCCTCAATAGAATAATAGACTGGAGTACAGTTATAGGCATGTCTGAGCCTGCTAAATGTTCAACTATGTCTGTTCTCCCCTTTTCTCTTTTAGTAAGAAAATTCTCCCTTACTCCATAGGTGCTTTCAGGGAACATGGCTAATCAGCTGGAGGCCACATTTCCCAGCTTCCCTTGAAGCTTGTTGTGGCCACGTGATCAGCTTCTTGCTAATGGAATGAGAATGGGAGCAGGAGTGTACATCTTTCACATCCGCTCTCTTTTCCTATTCTCTTAGGCTGGTACTTGGGTTGTGGTGCTGCTGAACCAGCATCAGCCATGTAGCACCACCCTAAAAGGATCTAGAGGAAGAAAATAGAAGAAACCTGGGTCCCAGGATATCCTAACAGAGCAGAGCTGCCAACCTTCCCTCCTTACCACTATTCTGTTGCATCAGAGAGATATAAACCTCTTTGCTGGTTAAGCCACTATATTTTGAGGTCTCTTTGTTACAGCCTCTGAATCTCTGCTTTAGCTGATAGGAGCAGTGGTAGTTTAGGATCCTGTTCCACTCATTCAACAAAATAGATTATGTGCTTACTAAATGGCAGGCACCAGAAAGGAAGACATTTATTTGAGATTACACATTTAGTGAATGTAGAGCTGGAGCAAAAATACAAGTTTTCCAATTTCCAGCCCAACACTCTCGCCACTTCATGCTTCCTTCTCATCTAGCTGTGTGGCTAATGCTTCAACTATTGCAATTAATTAGGGGAGGGCTGAGCGTTCCCAGAACTGAGTGTGACCTGGCAGGCTTTACTCTCACATGACTTGTTAGACCTTTGTTTGTTTGGGGTTTTATTTCTTGAAAGGAAAAAATGATGATAGTCCAAGACAAATTAGAGGAGTTACTAACACAGAAAAAAATCTTTATTCATCACTGTAAGACCAACCCTGTCCCCTGTGTATAGACGGATGTACGGGGCAGCTTACAGTATCGGAGGGATAGGGCTTGCCAGCAATAACATTGTTAGGGAAATGCAGAGGCTGGAGTGTATAGTCTAAGCCAATGTTTATGTCAGGGAAGAAAACAAACTGGAGTCAGTTTAGATCAACCCATCTTAATGTTCCAAAATAGAGTCTGTAGGACAGGAAAAGAAAGTAGCAGAAAACTTGATTGGATATAGAATTAATACATTTTCTTCCTCCACCACTAAAAGTCATTCTTTATTGGATCATCCTGTTTTATTTTCCCTAGGGTTTTATAATGATCAGAAATTTTCTTCTTTACTTTTTTGTTCACACTTTTATTGTCTATTTTTCCTAAAACAAGTTATTTCCATGGCTATCTAACTTACCACTGATTCTCTAGTGACTAGAAGAATTAGACTCTTAAAAGAATTGTTGGCCCAAGGCGATGGTGCATGCCTGTAATGCCAGCACTTTGGGAGGCTGCGTTGGGTGGATCACGAGGTCAGGAGATCAAGACCATCCTGGCTAACATGGTGAAACCCTGTCTCTACTGAAAATACAAAAATTAGCCTGGCGTGGCAGCATGCACCTGTAGTCCCAGCTACTCAAGAGGTTGAGGCAGAAGAATTGCTTGAACCTGGGAGGCAGAGGCTGCAGTGAGCCAATATCGTGCCACTGCACTTCAACTTGGGTGACAAAGTGAGACTCCATCTTGGGAAAAAAGAAAAGAAAAGTATTGTTAGGCGGGGTGTGGTGGCTCACGCTTGTAATACCAGCATTTTGGGAATCCAAGGCAGGCAAATCACGAGGTCAGGAGTTCAAGACCATCCTGGTCAACTTGGTGAAACCCTGACTCTACTAAAAATACAAAAAATTAGCTGGGCATAGTGGCACACACCTGTAGTTCCAGGTACTCAGAGGGCTGAAGCAGGAGAATTGCTTGAACCCGGAAGGCAGAGGTTGCAGTGAAGCCGAGATCGTGCCGTTGCACTCCAGCCTGTGTGACAGAGAGAGACTCCATCTCAAAAAAACAAAAAAGTATTGTTGGGTGAATAAAAGAAGAAACGAACAAGTGAATGAATAGAAAATGTGACAACACAGAAAATGACCTACATAAATCAGGAAACATGGCACAGTTCTGCTTCTTTGGTGACAATGTAAAGATTGCATATTGTCAATATAGACAAAGAAATACTATGCTGTTACCTCTGAGCGGGGAGCTATATCATTCCACAATACTCCTTTGGCCCCTGACCCACTGCTGCCAGAATTTTTTTGTCTTATGCCTCTATGCTGGCCATAGTATGCTCCTTGCAAACCTCTCCTATGGGCAGTGTACTTGACCAAGGGCCCCAGGCACTGTACTCTGAAGCCCATCACTGTGTCTGTGCTGAGGCCATGCTCCCAGTCGAGGACCAGTGCAGCAGGCTTACTGGGGCAGACCTTTGCTAGGGGACAAAGGAATATCCTCCTATGCCAGCTGCAGTGACCTTGAACCAGAGGGCCAGTAAAGCTTTGGTCACTTCAGCTTTGGCTTGAAGTCTTTCCGAGAGCTTTACAGAACCCTCCTTGGACTGCGTGGCAATCTGGGATGCTTCCCTTCCTGCTCTTCCCACTCAGGGCCAGGCTCTCATCTCAGTCTGATGACTCTCCCAGCATTTTCTGACTCCCTCCCACTTTCTCTCTTAGGTGTTTCCCCATCAAATCCTTGCATATTTGATGTCATGTTGGAGTCCGACTCTCAGAGAACCCTAGCTAACATGGGCTCTAAGAACAGTCCCTGGGGGCCTGTGCTGGCTGGAAGGCTGGCGAATCCCAAGCACCATCCCGTTTTGAATCCAGTGCCTGCCCTCACACGATCAACGTCCAGTTTGCCTTCCATACTTAGATTCAGTTCAAACTTAAAAACCCGAATAGAAAAGCAGCATTATAAAGCAAATGCTGTCTATTAGCCTTTATTCTAGATAACCGGCACTGACAGGAGGAGAAAATGGAAGAAGGTTAGTAAGTTGAACAGGAAAAACAGACATAAAAATCTCTTTTGAGTTTAGAGGCTTCTCACCATGAGAGAAGATGTTAGCTCTGACACACAGCATGCAGCATGTTTATTGAATTTTTGATAGCAAAAGAAGTGAGATTAGAGCACTTAAGGGCATGGTAGCAGCCCTTGGAATGGAGGCACTGAACATACAGCTCTGTTGGTTTTGTGTAATCACAGAGGTGGGGGGTAATTGGACAGGGCATGTCAAAAACTAGATTTCACAGAATGCCTTGGAGAAAGACAATGCATGTAAGCATTTGTTCCTGAGGAATGGATTCCCACAGTCCAACCTGCCACATTCTGTCAACCTGGCACAGATATTTTTCTCCTCTTTTATTAAAGCACAACAATTTTATCCATTTACAACGTAACAACAGAAAATGTATTAGTTATGTGTTGCTTTGTAGCAAAGGAGCCCAAACTGTAGTGGCTTAAAACAGCAACATATTTTTCAAATCTCCGCGTTTCTGTGGATCAGGATTCCGGGGCAGCTTTACTGGCCCTCTGGTTCAAGGTCACTCATAGACTATAATCAGGATGCCATCTGGGCTGCTGTCCTTTCAAGACTTACCTGGGGAAGGTCCACGTCCATGTGGTGGCTGGCAAGATCCATTTCCTTGAGGGCCGCTGCACTGAGGGCCTCAGTTTCCCGATGGCTTTGGCTAAAGGCTGCCCTCAGTTGCTTGTTGGGTGAGTCCACAGGGCAGCTCACAGTAGGTAGTGCTGGAGTTCATCAGGGTGGGAAAGAGAGAGGAACAGAGAGTGGATTTGAGCGAAGTAAAAGTCCTTCTTTCGTGACCTGTCTTAGTCCATTCAGGCTGCTATAACAAATATCATAACTGCATGGCTTATAAACAACAGACATGTTTTCCTCATAGTTCAGGAGTCTGGAAAGTCTAAGATCAAGAAACTGAAAGAGTTGATGTCTGCAGAGGCCCCATTTCCTGGATCATAGATAGCACTTCCATGCCATGTCCTCACGTGGTTGAAAAGGGACAAGGAGTCTCTCTCTGACCTCTTTTATAAAGGCACTATTCTCATTCATAAAGGTTCTTTCCTTATGACCTAATTGCCTTCCAAGGGTCACACTTCCTAATGCCATCACATATACATTTTGGGGGTGGGGATACAAACATTCAGACCAGAGTAGTCTAATCTTGAAACTCTTACCCCATCTCTTTCATTATATTCTATTGATTAGAAGCAAGTTACTAGGCACAGCTCACTCTCAAGGGGAGGAACTTAAATGAAAGCATAAATGACAAGAGGAAGGGATAATTGAGAGCAATTCCACAAGCTGCATGTCACTCAAAAATAAGCTCTACTTGAGGGCATAATGGAAGAATGATATGGAAGAATAAGGTGAAAATGTATTTCCAAGAATATGATCCTTTATAGCGCTGTCTTGGCTTTTGCAGAGAACACATGACTGGTTAACTCTTAAATCGTGCTAAACAAACTTCTCCACTGAAGTACTAACCATAACTGAAAATATCAGTGTACCCATGGAGCCAAAGCAGTTAGCTGCAAAGAGTAAATTTCTTTAAGTTTTACACTTTGTCTCAAACATTCACATGAATTGTGCATTCTAGGACATAATCTATGTGTTTGCTTAAATATAAAGATATAAAAATTATTTCCCATGGAGAAAAATTAATTTTCTAAGGCGAGGCACCATGTGGATTTAGTTTGAAGAGACTGACTCAGATCTCATAGCACTAGTTTCCTTTTGGTGGGTCATCTCTGCTGACTCATTCATGCCTATTTCCTCTGTGACATGGGGAAGCTAACTATTATCATCTGTTAACAGTGAAAAAAGGAAATATCTTGCAACATCTATTTATTTTCCTTTTTAAAAGGAATTTAGCCTCCCCACCTGCTAATCCTTGTGTGGTCCACACACCCGCCATGTTAAACAACCATTTGCTTTTCCCTGAGCAGAGCAGCTTTTTCTCTCCTTGGGTTATGTGAACGTGTAATTCTCTCAGCCTGGGCTGCTCTGTCCTGCCACGTCTTCTATGTGATTCCTCTTTACCCTTTTGCCTGCAGCTTGGGGAGTCAGGGGAGGTCTTGGAGAAATAGTGATGCCTCAAGAGAGTTAAACGTTATGCCTGTCCCTTCCCAGAGCCACCTTTGCACGCCTTCATTTGTGCACAAATAAAATTATGGTGACTATATGATGTTTCAACATCTCCTCTTCTAGATGTGAGCTTCTTAAGGAGAAAGACCGACTTTTCTTTTTTGTACTACAAGCAGTAGTTATAAAATGCCCACTATTTGGCATATAGTAGATGTTCAAAGTATGTCTGTTACCATATGAGAAATTAAAATTGAATAAGAAAACATTTATTAAAATTTCAGTTGATTCATTTAAAAATAACAAATGCATTACATGTTAACTAAATAACACTTTTAATAGAAAATGTTTTGAAAACAGAAAGCCAGTTAGTCAGAAGTATGGCATTGCTTTACATTTTTGCAAATCTCTTAAATGTCTGGCTTAACAGGAGTCAGCTGGTCTCTCATATCTGCTTCTGCAATTAATCTGTTGTGATATGTTGTTTTGGTTGAAGTTTATGAAGAAGATCTGGCAGTTAGAGAAGGAAAAAGCTTTTTAGTAGGCTGTTTAGGTAATTGTGAATATTCTTATATTTTGTAATTTGAGGTAGGATCTTGCTCTGCTGCCTGGGCTGGAGTGCACGGGTGTGATCATGGCTCACTGCAGCCTTGATTTCCTAGGCTCAAGCGATCCTCCCAACTCAGCTCCTCCAGTAGCTGAGACTAGAGGTGCATGCCACCACGCTAGCTAATTATTTTTTATTTGTAGAAATGGAGTCTCACTATGTTGCCCAGGCTAGACTCAAACTCCTAGGCTCAAGCAGTCCTCCTGTCTCAGCCTCCCAAAGTGTTGAGATTACAGGCGTGAGCCATCATGCCTGCCAAATTGCAGATATTATCCTTTGATACTACACAAAATTTGCTAAGTGGTAGTTTCTTAAAGGTTATTTTCGGTGTGGAATCTGAAACGATATTAGTGAACTCTTTATACGCTGTTACACTAAAATCCATTAGCCTGTCTTGAAATTTGAATGGATCTTTTACCCATGCATGATTTTATAACATCATGGAAAATACTGGCCCCCTGAGGTTATGTACGTCTTCCAGATATTCAAACATTTCATTATAAAATATCATAAAATACTACTTGCCAATATTACCTTTGATTTCATTAGGAAAGTTCTTACATATTGAGAAACTATCAAGCTCATAATGATGGATAAAATTACTCCAAATTCAAATTTTCAGTTGAAAGCTTAAATTTTATCATCGGCGACACATACTGTCAGTTGCTTTTCTTGAAATAATGAGGCTTATTTATTTAGAGATGGAGGCTCACTGTTGCCCAGGCTGGAGTGTGGTGGCATGATCTTGACTCATTGCAACTTCTGCTTTCCAGATTCAAATGATTATCCTGCCTCAGCCTCCCAAGTAGATAGGATTATCAATACATGCAACCACACCTGGCTAATTTTTTTTATGTTTTCGGTAGAGACGGCGTTTCACCATGTTGGCCAGGCTGGTCTCGAACTCCTGATCTCAATCGATCTGCCTGCCTTAGCCTCCCAAACTGCTGAGATTACAGGCATGAACCACTGTGTCTGGCCTAATTTTATTTATTTTTGATAAAAAGTCTGCCAAATTCTCAAATTTAACTAACTGGAATTTGTTTGCTATCATTATGGGCTGAATTGTGTCTTCCCCCAAATTTCTATGTTGAAGCCCTAACCTCCAGCACCTCAGAATGAGACTGTATTTGCAAATAGGGCCTTTAACAGGTGATTGGATTAAAATGAAGCTGTCAGAGTGGGCTCTAATCCAATCAGATTGGTATTTTTGTAAGAAAAGTTTGGCCAGGCACGGTGGCTCACGCCTGTAATTCCAGCACATTGGGAGGCCAAGGCGGGTGGCTCATGAGCTCAGGAGATAGAAACCATCCTGGCCAACACGGTGAAACCCCATCTCTACTAAAAATACAAAAATTAGTTGAGCATGGGGGCGTGCACCTGTAGTCCCACCTGCTCAGGAGGCTGAGGCAGGAGAAGCACTTGGACCTGGGAGGCAGAGGTTGCAGTGAGCTGAGACTGCGCCACCACACTTCATCCTAGTGACAGAGTGAGACTTCATCTTAAAAAAAAAAAAAAGAAAGAAAATGTGGATACGAGGGGTGCACATTCACAGAGCGTTTTGGCAACCATGTCCAACACATCCGATATGGCTAAGACTGAGAAATTTGATAGGTCGAAATTGAAGACAGAAATGCAAGAGAAAAATCAACTACTCACAGCTGTGGCTACCAACCTGGGCTGATGAAAAAGGACCAAAGGATTGATGTTTTTGTAGATACCACTATGAACAGATGACCTGGGGACCAGGTGAGCACTCTTAAACTAAGCATGTTATAAATGCCCTCGGAATGTGATCACAACCACGGAGAGAAAGGGCAGAAGACTGGATTCCAGATGAAAGTAAAGATCTGCCATTCAACTACAAGTGAAGCTCAAGATGTAAATTAAGCTGTGTTGTGAAAAACAAAGTTATATTTCTCACTCACATGAATTTCTGGACTGAGATTTGTCCCTGCTACAGACATTTTACAGATGAGAAGACTGAGCCTTAGAGACAGCAAAGCAGGTGCCCAAGATTCAACAGTTTAGTAGCTTGGCTGGAATTCAAACATCAGAGACCAATTCCTAAACTCTCCAGAAGAGTGAACTCGAGGCTGGGGATATTTGACATCCAAGGTGACATGACCATTCAGGGTAAACTCAGAGATGGAACTACACCTGTTGACTTCTAGCCTGTGCTCTTTTTTAAGACAATGGGATTCTGTATCTCAAAGGAATACAGAACTGTGTTGTAAGTGAATTACCACTGACTTTCCAAAAGACCATGAGAGAAACCTTTTGATCAAGCATGGGTTATTTAAATCTGCCTTTGCAAATTACTAACCTAGAAACCTAGAGACAGGTATTTAATCTGTTTTTACCTCCCTTTCTTCTAGAAAATGGGGCTCATAAAATTTGTCTCCCCATTCCTTAAGTGTGTGCTGTGCATGTTGCCTTCCTTCCAAAGACTACAGTATGGAAAGGGGGAAGCAAAGAGTAACTTCACAGTGGAGAAACCTCAGCCAGATGATCACATCAGCATCATCCATGAAAAGCTGATAAGCAACGCTTGCCATTTTGTGCTGAGAATGGCCCTTGATCCCTCAAAATGCATAACCCCAATGTCTTTTCCTAGAAAACCATAATCCCAGAACACATAACCTCAATGTCTTTTCCTCCAAAACACATAACCCCAATGTCTTTTCCCCCAAAACACATAACCCCAATGTCCATTTGGTTGCTATAACAAAACGCTGTACACTGAGTGGCTTATAAACAACAGAAATTTGTTTCTCACAGCTCTGAGGCTCCAGTCAAAACAAAGCAGATTTGGTGGTCTGTTGAGGGCCGGCTTCTGCTTTCTGGTTTACAGGCAGCATCCTCTCCATGCAGCCTTACAAAGCGAAAGGGTCGGGCCAGGGGCCTGTCTTTGGCCTCTTATATTTATAAAGACACTATTTCCATTCACAGGGGCTCTGCCCGCATAACATAATAACCTGTCAGGGCTCAGAAAACAATTCCCCAAAATGAAGTTCTCTGAAGTAGCCTCAGAAGCAAAAGTTTTTGTCTGACCTTCTCCTGCCCTTCTGTTTCTCAGTCCCATTCTCCCCCAAAGCTAGCTTTAGCCGTGGAAACTAGAATCCTCTTCCTCAGGACAGGTCATAGAAAGCAGAACTCCATTTCTTCAAAGTCAGCTATAAAACCTAAAAATATCATTCTAATTTATCCTCTACCTTTCTGGGTAAAAACTGGACATAAAGTAATTATCTGATGTACCTTGTTTAACTACAGGTCATAAGAGGGCCCTGCCATACCCAGAAGGACCAAATGTATGCTCAGGCCAAGAAGAATCTAGACAGGTCTTGCTGGGTTTTCCCTTCAGTCTATTAGCATTAGAGAATACTGTTTTGTCCAGTGATATTTCTACATAGCTGTCCATAGTTTGTTGAACCTAAAAATAAACATAGATAATTTCCCCTGTATCTTTGGGTCTTTATTCTGAAGGCTCCTGTGAATACATGTTAAATAAATGTGTATGTTTTTTTTCTCCAGTTAATCTGCTTTTTGCAAGTTTATTTTATTTTATTTTATTTTATTTTTGTGTGAAACTTCAGAGAGCCAAGGGGATTCTATACACCCAAAAACCATACGTCTTAATATTATGCCATCACCTTTGGGTGAGGATTTCAACATATGAATTTTGGGAAGATACAAAAATTCAGACCAGAGCACCCAGTCTAATAATCATGACAAAAGTACAAGGCACATCCCAATTGATGGCCGTTCTACAAAATACCTGACCAGTTTTCCTCACAACTGCCAAGGTCATTAAAAAAACAAGAAAAGTCTGAGAAATTACTGCAGTAATTTCAAGAGAAGCCTAAGAAAACATCATGACTAAAAGTAATGTCCTATCCTGGATTGGATCCTGGGCCAAAATCAAAAGACATTAGAGAAAACCTGAGGAAACCGGAGTAAGGTATTACGTACCTTAGTTGATAATAATGTGTAAATATTATGTCACTAACTGTGACAAATGTACCATATTAATGTAAGATGTTAATAATAGGAAACTGGGTGCAGCGCCTGTGGGAAGTCTCAGTACGATCTTTGCAATTTTACTGTAAATCTAACACTATTCTAAAATAAAATCATTTGTTTAAACAAGGAAAAAAGAATGGATATTGGTATGTAAGTGAGAAAATAACTTTGATAAGAAGGTATCCTTGAATATGCTATATTTTATTAAAAGGAAACTAATTATCAAGCTTAATTTTAATTATTTTTAGTAACAAAACACTGATGACATGCTTGTAGGTCAAGATACTTGGGTTGAAAAGTGCCGAGGAAGATGGTGTCTATAAAATGCTTTTCAGCAGTTCAGCCTTCTTAATTCAGATAGTCAGACAGTGCCTGAGGTTCTTTTCTGAATTCAGTCTCTATCTAGCCTTCAACTTCAGTTAGCTGTAGTCAGATTTTGCTAATCATTAGTATCACAGGCAGGCTTACAATTTTTGTAAAAAGTATATATTTTTATTAATCCAACATATCTAAAATATTCTAATTTCAATGTGGAATAGTAAAAACATTGATGTGACTTTTTAAAAAATACTAAGCCTTTGAGATCTGGCAGGTGTTCTGCACTTACAGCGCGCTTCAATTTGGTGAGCCGCATTTCAAGTGCTCAGCAGCTACGTGTGCAATTCTATATCATTTAGTATATGAAAAGTACAATGACACACACATACACATGCAATCATAATCACCGAATTTTTTTTAAATAAAGAAACTTAGATGAGCAAAAAGTGAATTGCCTTGTTCTTGTTGTTCTCTCTTCATTATGAATTCATTTGAGGACCATGCCATTTTATAGACAGGTGCCTGGGAGTTAGGCATAGTTGGGTTGGGTTGAGTTGTCTAAAGGTACCTGGGACTGCCATACCCACACCTGAGTTAGCTCCTTTCTTCCTTCATTGAACAGATATTATTGAGAGCCTACACTGTGCCAGGCTTTGCTAGGTGCTGGGGATACAATGGTAAAGGTGAAAAACAGATGGGTCCTCTGACTTCATAGAGCTTCCAGCGTATGCAAATAACAGGTTAATTACAAAAGAATTTGAGTGCTCTGCAGTGGGTAGTAAAGATGGGATGAGCAGTGATGGAGTGTATTGTCTGTAGAGATTTTACAAACAATAATAAAAAGGATTAAAAGTTGTTCTGCTTTTTATGATCACCATACATCTTCAATTCTAAACCATGTCAGTGATGAAATACTCAAAGGGGTCCATAATACATCATTGTAGCATAAAAATTACTTTGAACTGAAGGCATTTGGTTCCTGAAATCTTCTATCTGATTAAAAGCAGAGCTTCCCAACAGAATTCAATTGTCATAAATTCCCTCCCTGTGGGAACTTGGGAAGATTGACTCTTATCACTGGAGATGAGAAATCAGCACCACACACAGATGTCACAAAACTATCATATCTCTCAGCTCTTCCCCTGAGGGCCCATTTATCTTTCCAAAAAGCCGTTTGTTTTCCCTTAAGTGCCCTTTCTCTTTCCTTCCCCTATTAAGATAGTATGTAAACCCCAAGTTCTAACTACCTCCTTGCATCACATTTCTTTGTAAACTCCAGTAAGTGTGTGATTAAGTTTGTTTTTTTCTCTTGCTAATTTATAGTCAGTTTATGTCTTTTTTCCACTGGGTTCAAATAACAGTCCCATCATTTAAAAACTAATTTTTAATATTTATGTATATATAGTAGTTGTATTTACGTATGGGGAACATGAGATATTCTGATACAGGCATACATGTATAATAATCACATCAGGGTAAACGGTGTATCCATCACCTCGAGCATTTCTCATTTCTTTCTGTTATGAACAGTTCAATTATACTACCTCAGTTATTCAAAATGTACAACAAATTATTGCTAATGGTAGTCACTCTGTTGTGCTATTAAATACTAGATCTTATTTATTGTATGGAACTGTATTTTTGTACCCATTACCCATCAACATTCCATCTTCTTTCCCACTACCCTTCTCAGCCTCTCATAACCATCATTTTATCCTTTCTCTCCATGAGTTTAATTGTTTTAATTTTTAGCTCCCACAAATGAGTGAGCAAATGTGAAGTTTGTCTTTCTGTGCTTGGCTTATTTCACTCAACATTTTCTCCATGATATGGTTTGGCTCTGTGTCCCCACCTAAATCTCATCTGGTAGCTCCCATAATTCCCAAGTGTTGTGGAAGGGACCCAGTGGGAGACAATTTAATCATGGGGCTGGATCTTTCCCATGCTATTCTTGTGATAGTGAATGAGTCTCACGAGATCTGATGGTTTTAAAAACAGGAGTTTCTCTGCACAAGCTTTCTCTTTGCCTGCTACCATCTATGTAAGATGTGTCTTGCTGCTTCTTGCCTTCTGCCATGATTTTGAGACCTCCCCAGCCATGTGGAACTGTAAGCCCAATATACTTGCTTTTGTAAATTGCCGAGTCTTGGGTATGTCTTTATCAGCAGCATGAAAACTGACTAATACTCTCCAGTTGCATCCATGTTGTTGCAAATGACAGTGTCTCATCTTTTTTTATGATGGAATAGTACTCCACTGTGTATATGCACCCATTTTCTTTATCCATTCATCTGTTGATGAACACCGAGGTTGATTCCAAATCTTGGTTATTTTACATAATGTTTCATGAACATGGGAGTGCAAATATCTCTTTGATATGCTGATTTCCTTTCTTTTGAGTATATGACCAGCAGTGGGATTGTTAGCGCATGGGGTAGTTCTATTTTTAGTTTTTTAAGGAACCTGCACATCATTCTGCATAGTGGCTGTACTAATTTACACTCCCACCCACAGTATACAAAGGTTACTCTTCTGTCACATCCTCACCAGCATTTATTATTGTCTGTCTTTTGGATAATGGTTTTAACTGGGGGGGGGGGGGGGGGAATGATGTCTAATAGTGGTTTTGATTTGCAATTCTCTGATGATCAAAATGTGGAGCACATTTTTATATACCTATTTACCGTTTACAGGTCTTCTTCTGAGAAATGTCTATTCAGATCTCTTGCCTATTTGAAAATCTGATTATTAGATTTTTTTCCCTTTGAGTTGTTTAAGTGCCCTATATATTCTGGTTATTAATCCCTTGACTGATAGGTAGTTTGTAAATATTTTCTCCCATTCTGTGGGTTGTCTCTTCACTTTGTTGATTGTTTATTTTGCTAGGCAGACTGAAGAACTGTTTTTAGCATTTCTTCTAGGTAGGTCTGGTGTTGATAAAATCTTTTAGCTTTTATGTGTCTGGGGAAGTCTTTACTTCATGTTTGAAGGGTATTTTTATTGGATATTACATTCCAGGATAAAAGTTCTTTCCTTCAATATTTTAAATATATCATGTCACTGTCTCTTGGCTTATAAAGTTTCCACTGAAAAATCTGCTGCCAGACATATTGAAGCTCCTTTATATGTTTTTTTTTTCTCTTCTTCTGCTGCTTTTAGGATCCTTTCTTTATCTTTGACCTTTGGGAATTTGATTATTAATGACTTGAGGTAGTCTTATTTAGATTAAACCTGCTTGGTGTTCTATAACCTTCTTGTATTTGAATGTGGACATCTTTCTCTAGGTTTGAGATGTTCTCTATTAATATCTTTTTGAATAAACTTTCTTTTTTTAAAAATTTATTTATTTAACTTTAGGTGCATACTATATCTGGCATTTCTCCCCATGTTATCCCTCCCCCCACCCCATCCCCCACTGTCTCTCCCCTACCCCCCTCAACTGCCCCAGTGTGTGATGCTCCTCTCCCTGAGTGCACGTGTTCTCATTGTTCAACACCCATCTATGATTGAGAACATGCAGTGTTTGGCTTTCTGTTTGTGTCAGTTTGCTGAGAATGATGGTTTCCAGATTCATCCAAGTCCCTACAAAGGACAAGAACTCATTGCTTTTTATGGCTGCATAGTATTCAATGGTGTATATGTACCACATTTTCTTTGTCCAGTCTATCATTGATGGGCATTTGGGTTGGTTCCAGGTCTTCACTATTGTACACAGGATTGCAATGAACATACAAATAAACTTTCTACTTCCATCTCTCTGCCTCCTCTTTAAGGCCAATAATTATTAGATTTTCCCTTTTGAGGTTATTTTCTAGATCCCATAGGCATGCTTTATTCTTTTTTCTTTTGACTCCTCTGACTGTATTTTCAAATAGGTTTTCTTCAAGCTTACTAATCCTTTGTTCTGCTTGATAAATTCTGCTGTTGAGAGACTCTGATGCATTTTTCAGTTTGTCAATTGAATTTTTCATCTCCAGAATTTCTGCTTGATTCTTTCTAGTTATTTCAATCTCTCTGTTAAAGTTGTCGGGTAGGATTCTGAATTCTTTCTCTGCATTATCTTGGATTTCATTGAGTTTCCTCAGAACAGCTATTTTGAATTCTCTGTCTGAAAGATCACATATTTCTGTTACTCTGGGATTGATCACTGGGCCTTACTTTGTTTGTGGTGAGGTTATGTTTTCCTGAATGGTTTTGATGGCTGTGTATGTTCATCAATGTCTGGGCATTGAAGAGTTAGGCATTTATAGTCTTCACAGCCTGGGCTGGTTTGTACTTGTCCTTCCTGGGTAACTTTCCAACTATCTAAAGGGAATTGAGTGTTGTGAACTAAGTCTTTGGTCACTGTAGCTGTATCCACATTAGGAGGCACCCCAAGCCCGGTAAGGCTGTTTACTGTTGTAGACTTGCAGAGGTACCGCCTTGGTGGTCTTGGGTAAGGTTCTTGGGAGAATTCTTTAGATTAGCAGGCAAGACTCTTTTTTTCTTCCCTTATTTTCCCCCAAACTCTCTCTCTGTTCATGCTGAGCTGCCTGGAGTTAGGGGAGGGATGATGCAAGCACTCTTATGGCTACCACTGTTGGGACTGTGCTGGGTCACACCTGAAGCCAGCACAGTACTGAGTCTTGCTCAAGTCCTGTGACAACTATTTCCTGACAACTGCTGATGTTTATTCAAGGCCCAAGGGCTCTTTAGTCACTAGGTAATAAATCCTGCCAGGACTGGGCAGTGCAGCAGATTCCCTTCTGGCTCAGGATAGGTCTAGAAATCCTCTCGAGATGGGAATGCCTGGAATCAGGGACCGTAGGAGTCTGCTTGTTGTTTTGTTTTACTGTGGCTGACCTGGTACCCACGTTGCAAGACAAAGTCCTCTTTACTCTTCCGTCTCCTTTCCTCAGGCAGAAGGAGTCTCTCCCTATGGTCACAACAGCTGGGAATGATCTGTGTCACACTGAAGCCAGCATGATGATAAGTCTTGTCCAAGACCTGTGGTGACTGCTTCCTGGCTCCCGCTGATCTTTATTTAAGACCTAAGGGCTTTTTAGTCAGCAGGTGGTAAATTCTGCCAGGACTGGATTCTTTCCTTCAGGGCAATGGGTTCCCCTCTGACTCAGAGTGGATCTAGAAATGTCATCTGGGAACTAGGGCCTGGAATGGGGGACTGAGGATTCTTCTTGGTACTTTATTTTACCGTGGCTGATCTGGTATTCTAGTTGCGAGACCAAGTCCCCTTTACTCTTGCGTTTCTTTCCAGAGCTGGGAGTTGCACTGTCTGAAGTGATGCAATCACTTCCTTGGCCACCCTACCTGGTGTCTCACTGGGTCAAATGCACCAAATCCACTGGTCACAGACCAACACAGCACCAGGACTCTCCAAAGAACTGCAGTCTTTGTAGCCTAACTGTCTTTCAAGTTTATTGAAAGCACCAGAGAACTTTAGCCCATGCCGATGGAGATAACTAGAATTCAGTTTCCAGCTGCTGGGATGGATGAGGTAAAAACCAAGTACTGTGATTGTTCACTTGATTTTTGGTTCTCATGAAGGTGTTTTCTTGTGTGGATAGCTTTTTAATTTAGTATTCCTGTGGAGGGACAGGAGGGATGATTGCTGGAGGGTTCCATTTGGCCATCTTATTCCACCTTCTATTATCAGTTTAATTCACAGATTCCTAAGTACTGAACCTAAGAAGGTGGAGGAAATATCCTCCTCACAGGAAGACTTTTAAGCACTCAGATTCCTGTGCCCAACTCCAACTCTCCAGCAGGACCCCTGGAAAGCTGGGTTAGGCAGTTGAATGTTTAAGGAGCTCCCCAGGCGAGTCTGAAGTTAATTCAGTTTGGAAACTCTGGATCTAGACCAAATAACAAATATAGTTCTTGACCACGCTGATTGGGAAGGACTTTGAGTCCTTGATAAAAACAAACAGTCATGTGTTGCTTAACGACAGCAAACGTCAAATAATGTACTTTGAGAAACCTAGATGGTAGAACTTACTATGTACTTAGGCTATATGATGTGTAGGCTCCTATGCTACTTACCTGTACGGCATGTTGCTATACTGAATAATGTAGGTAATTGTAACAATGGTAAATATATTTGTATCTAAACATATCTAAGACAGAAAAGGCACAGCAAAAATCAAGTGTTATATATAATCTTATGGGACCACTGTCATATGCAACCCATCATTGACTGAAATGTCATGACACAGTGCATGACTGTATTTTGATGCATCAGTGATGTCTACCAAAGATGGCAGGTGAAGGGGTGGATGAGGAGGGTGGGGAAATTATTTGTCACAATTGCCACATATTTGCCATTCTTATAATTCTTTAATGTTTTGACAGCTTCTTTTCTTATTTCCTTGGGCCCTCTTATTTTCCTTTTTGGAATCATAGTTTTGATAATTTTAACGAATTCTCAAAGAACTTTACACCCTTCCTTTTGAATGACACATGCTTCTTGGATTTCAAGAATAGTTGCCAAGAGTCACGGTCTACATTTGTCCATTAGGCTTTTCCTTTTGGCTTACCTTGTTTTTCCATTCCTCCTCTTTAGAGTTCTGGAATACGCTTGGGAGTGATTCATTCATCATACATTCTAACTTTAAAACAAATGAATCTCTGGTATTAGCAGTAAAAGAAGACA